ATTTTTTATATGTTGCAATTCCATTGCTCACATTTCTTCAGATAATCAATAAATAATTAGCCCCATCATCCTTTTCATTCACATCAGTTAATTTGATTAGTGAAATGGCTAGTATGTTAGCGAATGGACCAACTTATAACGTAAATGATTTGTCACCATCGATATTTTTTCCGTTTTTTATGTTTTGGTTAATGAACTGCAAATACATTAGCTTAACAACGGCGAATATAAAAGACTTTTATTTATTTATTTATTTCAAATGGCAGGCGTTTTGATAGTTTTCATTAGCCCTTTAGCTGACTTCGGGCTTCACAGAGAGGAGGAGGAACATCAAAGTGACGAAAAGTTGAGAGGGGGCACAGAATACTGATTTACAGATGTAAAGGAGTCGGACAGACACAAAGGTAGAGAAAAGGTAAGATGAGTACTGTGAGAGGGGTCGAATATGGCACACAGTGGGGTCATGGTAGTCAGAAGTCAACTGCCGGTTAATAGATTTTTTCTCGTATGGGTATACGTTGCCCAGAGTGCACCACGTGGTGGTAAGTCTATCACACACTCCGAATAGAAAAGAATAAACTGATATTAACAAATTTAAAGTTACATTTAATGGATCAAGTCGTTTAACTTCACTCAAGCCTTTCCACTTAGAAAGCTGAGCTGTGAAGTCTACGCATCTTCATGCAAATAAATTAGGAAACAACAAATAAGAAGGATGTAAACGGAGGCACGTTGAGATAACTTAAAATATACTTTCCCCTCTTTCAAACGTATCTCCTTGTGAAGAGTCATACAAAATTGAAATCGCTTTTTTGTACGACGTTTGCTTGTTTTTAGTTAATACTCACCATGTCGTGTTTAATTATTGTTTTTTTTTCCCACTCAAAAAGTTAGCAGATGTGTGCGTGTATCAGCCTCAACTCTTATTTAAAGATTTTTATGGAACCCTCAAACCCCAGTATCTCATCGGCTGCTTCTGAGAGTGCTAATTTTTTGTGTGTCGCATTTTAAAATCTCTTTCTAGCACACAGAGCTCAGTGCAACGTCTCACCATTTTGAAAATACAGTCACGCTTCGTACAACACGTCGCTCTTAACTGCACCTTCTTACATCCCCACCCGTCCAACAACTTTTCTCCCCCACTTCCAACCTGTTCAAACGCTTCATAGCATTTACTAACGCGCTAATTTTCTCCTTAGAGCTAAGCAAAAGGAATAGGTAGATAGGGGGGTGGAAAGGGGGAGGGGTTAGTTTTCGAGTCCTTAGGTGACTGCTTTCTAACGCAGAAAATTTGGACACAATGTGTAACGTATTCGGTAGGTAAATGAAGGTCAAATGATAAAAAAAATTTCACTTATTTGACTAAGAAAACGACTGTTTTTATGCATCGTGGGCATGCGTCCACACCGCTGAAAGGGGAACAGTAATTAGGGAGACGAATGGAGGTGTTAGCTTGCGTTAATCTCAGAATAGTGTCGTTTTGTCTTTCAAGGAAAAAACTGTCAAAGGCAGAAACCATGATTCGACAAAAGCTGGAATCTGCGAATTGATTATCAGGTATTATTAGAAGAGTGGAACTTCAGTCCTTCTCTGAGGGTGATTTAGTTTAAAGATTGAGTTTTTAATTTGTCTTATAAGTGACAAGGTCAACTCAAACAAAGCATCAGTGAGTGTCTTCTTTTTGGCAAAGAAGCCGATGGTTTTAAAAGCTAACTAACCTTAAGGAAGTAGATTTTTTTAAAAATCACCTAATTTGAATCTGTATTGGATTGTGAAGACCCCAAATGGCTATTCAATCATTTATTTGTTTCCTTAGACAAAGCTTAAAAAAATATTAAGTTTTGAGTTTTCTTTGGTCACTCCATCTGATATCTATTTTAGTATTTATACAGCTGTCATTGTTTACATTACAATCTATTTACTACCAAATCGTCCTTTTATGGCCGTGAATCTCATTGACCATTCAATGAAATTAAAGTGAGCCACCCAGTTTGGTCCCGAAAATTAGAAGATGGGGTTATTATTGATGACTAAAGAAGGCGATGGCACCTCTGGCTACATTTCAAAATGAAGAACTGAAAGACGCTAACTTAGAATACGTCTCCACTTAGAAAATATCCTAACTCAGAGTTTTCAGTGGTAAACGAAGCAGAAGCCCTGTAAACAGTTGTATAAAATACTGTTCCCATTGGATGGTCCATAGATGACAGATTAATAAAAGGAGGAGGAGGGGGGAAAGGTGCTTTGCTCTTGCGATAAAAAAATCGATAAGCTAATAAAGTGAATAGTTAGCAAAGACTGGATAAGTCACTGGAGTTTGATTATTGGAAATATATCAGTAATAGAAAAAAGCAATCCTTGGTACAAATCGATTTTAACGCCGTGGAAAAATGTTCAAAAATAGTTCTCCTCCTTAATTATTATCAGTACCACTCTTTCCTTTTATGAATATAAAACGTAATTACGTCCTCTTGGGAGGAAGGAAACCTAATTTGGTATGGAAATGATCATAGGAAGCTTTAATTTGCGTATACATGCGTGGCCACAGAGATGGAAAATGACCTTTATTACTTGCTTGGCGGGAGAGTCGTTAATAATTAATTGACGTAGTCTTATTAATCCCCTACAGCAAAGAACGAACAACTCCTATAAGAGCAAATACTTCGTCTCCTCTCTTTTCATATGTAGCTCATTTATTTTGCTTTTCTCAACTGGTAAATCTCCAGAATGCAAAAAGTAAACCTAAATGGAGCGGGTTCTTTGCTTCAATATATTTGTAAGCACAACGAAACTGAGAAATGCTATCAGGTTAACTTAAGAGAAGATATTTTGGTGTCGCTTACATTTACCTTTCTTTTGGTTGCCACAATTTCTCAATAGAGTTAAACACTCACATCACAATCCGTGGATATCTCGTTAACTTCGGGTTCGACTGACATTTATTACAAACGTAATAGTTAGGACTATGTCATGTTGCTCCTTGGAGTTTAGTTGAATTAGGATAGGCAATGCAACTTTCCCATTAACATTGTAACACGATTGGAATCAGATTACTGCAATTCCTATTAATGGTATCGGGGATTACCTTACATGACAGAAATTTTAAACCATTAATACAATCATCTTAAATTTATCTCACGTTGGACTTCCCATTCATTATTTTGCTCGCTATCTTTATGCAAAATAATACATGAGTACTCATTTCAAAGTATACAACGTGTTCTAGTACAACATTATCAATTGCAGGTGTTTATTGAGGTCATTTGGCTTCTAGTTTTACAATGGATCAAAATGATCCCATAACGGATGTCAATCAATGGTGCATTCTGAGAGACAACAACTAACCATAACAATACTTCTGACAAATTGGCCTCATATCATGATCATGAAACCACGTCTCAGTAGACACTCGGCATACCTTATGATGACTTACAATTTGGTTCCTATATAATTTCGAATCAGGATTTCTTTCTTTCTCCAACACTCAGTGTGGCCCACTAATGCACCGTTTTAAGACCACCAAAGCGGTTTTTAAAATTTAAAGTTTGTGGAATAAACGACAAAGTTAAATAATAAAATTAAAAAAAGTTATGTAAGAAGAATTTCTGTAGAAATTGAAAACTCGAGGTATTAAAAACGTTGATTTAATGCAAGTGTATTCTGTTACTGCTCGAAATTATTTAGTTTTGAACCGATACTAATAAAAACTGTCTTTTCTTATAATTTGATGACGAATATGATGAAGAAAAGGCACTTCTTAATAAAATAGCTGGAAATGTACGCGTCCGGTAAATCAGTAATCACAGATATGATGTTCATACTAGTTAAAATTAACTAAAATGTGGGTAACAAGATGTGAGTTTCCCATAAATGGAACACCAAGATGTTATTTATAACCTAAACGTTGCTGGTCTCGGAATTACCATTTCGCAATATTTTGACTTTAGAGTAGATAATCATTCAAGAACTATAATAATAAGTCATTCCACAATAAGCATGAAACTGGTAAATCGAGCATCTTCTCTGTTATTTAAAATATGTTTAAATTTGCCCAGAACTCTTATATTCGGCTTTTGCACTCAACGGTGTTTTCTATTTCTCACCTTGAAGAAGTCGGCTCTCAAGGTCAACCCACAGTTCTCTACTCCACATCAGACAATTACTCGAATGGATTTGCTCATGTATATCCCGTCTGTACGACTACTCGAATCACTAGTCATCAAACGGGCGTGGGTGCTGGAGGAGGTCAACACCACACCAGTTCAGGGGAAAATGCTCATCTCCTCTCAGGCCTCGTGACACAACCTCGAAAGTGCTCCTCGGCTGCCACAGCTACCTACACGGAGACGCCAACTAATGGCGATGGTGAAGGCGACCCCAGCAAATATGAATATCAATTCTTGTTGCAACAGAAGGTGGGGTCATGTCTTTTTTAAACTGATTTGCTTGGAACTAATACATTCTTGCGTTATTACGATAAGTCATCTTGGAACAGCATCGTTTCTTTCTTTAACAGTGCATCAAAAACTTCCTTTCCATGACAAAAATCCATTTAATCCCAGTTTTCGTATTTGTTTGAAATATTAGGAGGAATTTGTCAAATAATCCAACAGATGAAATAGCGAACACCTATTTTGGACTCATGAAAGTTAAATTCACACACCAAATATTAGCCACAAAATACTAGTGAAAAAAAGATCAACCGAAATCCCACTCAACCTGTTCCGGTTATTTTATAATATATCAATTAATAAATTATTTAAATGTAACAAAGATTTACTCCAATTTTATATTTTTACTTTAAATGTTATGACACTAAAACGAATTTTCACCTAGAGTACAAAGGTTATTTAACTATTAAGTTGATGAGAAACCTCATGCTGAATTCGCTGTTCCAAAATTCGTCCATGGAGCCCACATTTTGAAGTAATTAAAAATAATAATAATAAATAAATAAGTAAATCACTTTATTCTTAGGCTAAATGGCGACCTGTTCAATAGATAACATGTGTAGATATTGTAAAATTATAAAAGTACATTAAGAATTCCCATCGAAGTGTATGTTTGGGAAGTTTTTCTGTGATCTATTAATTGAATGATTTTATTACTCTTGTAATAAAACTGACCAAAGGGTCTTATTCGAACTTAAAGTTGTATCTGTGCATTCCTACTCCGCTTTCTTGGATCTCTCGGGGTCTTCTTTCTCAGATGTGTAGCCTTGAGTTTCGTATGGCACTTCTTGGCTGACCTAGAAATTTTATTGAGAATGCACCCCCCCTGTAGTGATTCATCACGAAATTTTCATTCGCGCAACTGCCTTCCGAATTTCATTGATTGTTGATAACTAGGCATGTTCTTGAATCCTTGAAAATGTGGAATTCTAATTTGAGGGCAACTTCTCAATGGATATGCTTACATTGAACAATCAAGTCACACTTTTCTTATGTTTTTCCACCAGTTTTATTCTTAACACACTATCGTGTTGATGTTGTTATTTTAAGACATCATTTAGAAAGTTGAATGAAAGTACATGATGCATAATCTGCGTAAACGTGGTTTCCAATCAAATGTCAATTTTATTCTGATAGCAAACACCAAAAGTGTATCCTCTTCCAAGGCATTTAAAAGTCGACATAAATAATCTCATAAAAGGATATTAAATGGAAAAACCACCAAATTTTGTGAGTTTTTTAATACTCCAATTAGTTTTCCCGACAAAGTGTTCTACCGTTTTCCAGAGTGTGGAATAATAAGGTGAGAAATTTTCAAATAGTCTCACCATCAAAGCTGTATTAAAAACTCCAGGAAAGAAAATAATTTTAACTCCTAGAGAAGTGTAACAATGTCCAAGGTGAAGCGAAAGTGGGATAGTCTTCCCACAACCAGCATATAAAATGCTACTGTTTTAAAGAAGCTCCCTGTTGGTTGGTTGACAGGCAAAGAAGCAGTTTCGTCTATTGTCACAAAGAATGTTTTAATAAACTTATACATGCAGTTAGTTAAGAGAAGCAAGAAATTAAGAGGAGTTTATATATATGAACAATTAGGCAAGGAATTATTTTAATCTAGCGCGCTATAATGGTTTTCCTTGCAAAGTCTACTTTGCCCTTCTTCCACTATCTTAACCTTTTCACGTCATTTTTTTCCAAATCCAGTGGTTATATTCCTAATAAATGCCCTCTTTATGGCTTTGGAATTTATAATAATTTGACAGATGGTTGTCTACTTAGAATTCATTTGTCATACCATATGGCGAATTTTATCATAATGTTCATTGAGCGCATTCCCAATAAACTAAGCTCACAAATCTGTTTACTTACTTCATTATTTTGGATTAATTCAATATATTTCATTAAGGTACTGCTAAACTAATTAGCTGTGTCCGTCTAATCACCCTATTGATAAATGTTTTAGTGATTTCGACTACTCATTCATAGGTGTTAGTCATGAAGCACAGATGCGATTAGACATAGGTTGCAAATAACATAGCACAAATTTAATTTATGGGAATTTTTAGATAAATTTTGTGATAATGGGAGACTCCAGTTAGGCTAGGTTACCCTTATCTCAATCACCATGTAGGCTGTTGCTAAGTCATAGCTCTTTAATAGGCATAAAGTCTGACAATGAATTCGGTTGTACTTTTCAGGTACCCGTTTTGATTCAACGTCACCCATCAACAAGTCAACGAAGTTGTGGAGACAAACTAATAGGACTAAACATTCAATCAGATGCGTGGCCCACGACATCTCAAGAAAACAATGACCCCAATATCTCCAGAATTAATGGTCATACTTATAAGTCAGCAACCCTTCAACCAATGAGAAGAAGTATTAGTTCAGATTGGAATTCAGATCTCGACGATACAATCAATTCAACAACCCCCCTACAACCTCAAAAGGTGGTAAAATTCTCCGCCAGTAGTATCTCCTTGAACAAGTTAAATTCAACTGGAGATGTTCTGTCAAAAGCAGGGGAAACTAGCTATGTGTAATGAAACAAGACTGTTCCAAAACGGTGGCCGAAGACTTCCTATCTTATATGTCATTCCTGACTCATTATTTATATAAAGAAAGTCGTGGAACCCTCCCCTTGTGCAGCAATAGTTTTCTTCTTTCAGACTTATTTATTTTCCGGAAATTTTCTTTTTGTTGGTTTAACGACCAACCTACCACTGTGTAAATAATAAATTCTGCATTGTTCCAGCGGTAGATATTTATTTCCAAGTAAGAGAGAGAGAGGGAGAGCAAGGGTAAAAATATTTTTTTTATTTACGCGCACGTAAACTAGTTGCCACTTAAATAACCGCACAAAAGACCACATTAACTGCGTAGATAGGGTCTATTGACAACTGAGGTCCATATCCGTATTATTGAACCAGTCAGCTTTTATCTGATCATATATCTGCCCTCTTTTCCACCAGACTCAATCGTCGCTATTTGGACTTGAGGTTTATTAAATTAGCGGGAAACTTTTGGTGATGTTCTTACTTCCCAAAATTAATAAAAATTAGCATTTATGAAATGAACAGTAAGTAGTAAGGGAATAGTTTAAACTGGAACTTAGATGAAGCGCTAGAACTTTCAAAAAATACTAAATTATATACCCAAAATGTTCTTTCGTAATTTAGAGAACAGCACCTCCAGTTTTAAATGGACGATAATCGTTTGCTTGAGTAGAGTTATTAATTAATGTCCTTTTAGGTATAGGTTGTCTACATGCATGTTGATATCCTGACCTTGCCTGTAGGGCTTCTATTTCTTCAGTTTAGAGAAAGGTGGTGATTTAAGTAATAATTGTCCTTTCCATTGATCTAATATTCCTTTAGGAATAAGGGTGTTGAAACCATAGGAATTAAAAATTTTCCATTTACAAACTGCGTCCCTTTTACATCCACTGGACCGCAGTAGAAATAACTCCGGGACTATCGACAGTAACAGCAGATTTAGACTTGAAGTCTTCCTTCATGACGATAGTAAATACCGTATTAGCGACAACAGTTAAAAATTTAGAGGTGACGTGTAGATTATTGTGGATTTCTTATTTTCATAACCTCGATGACCTTGACTAAGTGAGACTCTGATAATCATTATATATATATATATATATATATATATATATATATCATTGTAAAAGTAATTTTGAAATTGAATGCAGCGTGCCATATAGCGTATTAAGCATTATATGGGAAAATTCCAGAAGACCCCATCAATGCTATGCTCAGTCTAGTTTGTATAGTTAAGATTGTATTGCAACTGACCAGATGGACCGACTAGACACATGCGAGGGCAAAGAGGTCAATCATAATAAATTCTCCATGTCTCAAAGGAAGTTTATGGTGTAGTCCTACGCTAGTAATCAGGATTCCACATAATCAAATTCAGGTTGGAAAAAGGCGAATCTTTGCCATAGCTGCTATTTCGTCGTAAACACCAAATTTTCTAATTTAATGTTCAGGTAGGACAAATGGCTAGGTGAGAAATAAACCCGGCAAATTAACCACATCTGGACTTTCCGCAATTAATCGCTGTATAATTTTTAACGAGCAAATAATGGTGCAGACATTACAAGTAATTGAAGCCACTTATTACGAATTGGAGCTAAAATAAGAACAAAATTGATAAAGACTTTTCAAAATTTGCTCAATATTTGCTCCTCATTAACTGAGAGATATTTTGGCCATGTATTTGCTATTTCATTTGACATAATACAAAATGGAACGGCGTCATTTATTTTTTTACTTAAAATTGCAGACGTTTTGATAGTTATCATTAGCCATTTAGCTGACTTCGGACTTCAGAGAGAGGAGGAGTGAGAAAATAATGATTCAGAGATGTATGAGACAGACAGACTGACACAAAGGCAGAGAAAAAGGTAAGGCAAGTACTGTAGAAGGAGTAGAATATGACATACAGTAGGGTCGTGGTAGTTTGAAGTCAGAAGTCGACTGCCGGTCAATAGACTTTTTTTCGTATGAGAATACGTTGCCCAGGGTGCATCACTTGGAGGTAAGTCTATTGCACACCTCGGAACCGCATCATTTAGCATTTTCCTTCGAGAATCGAGTCTGCTTCGTTAACTTGGGCAGGACGATTTTCTCATTCACAATAATGTGACTTAGAATTTTATTTAAAACGTTTAATGAATACTCTCTTTCCCCCTTTTCCTCTTTAAGTTAACAAAAGAGTTTCTACTGTCTAAATGAAAGTGAACAGGTGGTAGTCTTCTCGACTTCCTTCCACCTGAACACATACCCGGTTCTCGTGGCGCAAAATTTATAAACAAAATTACAGCTTTCTTTGTTTAAGCCATAAAGACGTACACCCCTCATCCAATACACCCCCCGGGTTTATAATTCACTTTTTCATGACTAAACGGCATCCTGTTTATGCCTAAACTGTTTGAAAACTTAACACCTACTTTCACTGCTTTTCGGCCTAATTGGTCGAAAACTGATTTTAGTTGGTAGTTAAGTCACGAACTGGATGAAGATATTCAGCCGCCACTGTTACTCTTATTGAAGACATCAATTTAGCGGTTCAAGATCATGCTAGAAATTGTTTTCTCTCTCCATCTCTGCTCATTAACAGGAATTTTCCTTGAGATGTTTGGGAATACTATGTTAAGTTTAGGTTCAGATCTGAACAATCCTAAAAAATGCTAGATTTCTTTAAGAATTGAATTAATTATGGGCTTCGCAAATCCTCATAAGCTTTTCAGTGAGAGAGAGAAAGAGAGATAATTTTGAGGATGAAGGTTAGAAAATTAACTTCTAATCACAGTTAAATAGTGTGCACTATCCAAAGGGCACTTTTAAAAGGAGGTCAAAATAAATCGGTTTGCATTGTAACTTGATAAAAGAGTAGAGGCCAAATAACATGGTTTCAATGCACTCAAAAAATAATTCAATAAATAATAAAGTTTATGAAGGTAATATTAAAAGATTTTAACCGATTATGGGTAGGTTAGCCTTCAATTATGAATAAAATTATAATTGCTACCATTAACTAACTTAGGTAAATTAGTGGTTAAAAAAGTGGGCAATGTCTATGATTGTAGTCTCAAATGGAAGATGCATTTCTCAAAAAAATAAATACCCCATTAACCTACTGTTAGTTATTCATTAAATTTGAATGTCTGTTAATATATGCTGAATTAAATGGTGTTTGCCTTACACAATTTTGGAGTAATACATGTCATTAAGGCATCTACATGCTTCTAGTGGGTTCTTTGATTCGTTGTTATCTTGAAGGCAAATTAGTCAATACCACGGAGGCCTGACAAATTCTTCGATTTTTCAACAGACAGTGGAGTACTCGAGACTGTAAATTTTTTGATCTTGCCAGTAGGCCTAAAAAGTTTGATTGAAAATTTGAACCAACGCACCTTCGAATATTTCTAACACATATACTACCACAATTTCTCTAAATCCTTCCAAAACAATCTGCTCAATCTCCGGTTCACTTTCCTCCTCAATGTCAGCTCGAGATTAGGCGAACATCAGTCAGAGAACGTTATGTGCCGAATTCCATGAAATTTTCCATGCCTAAAGTTGTTTCGTCTCGACTAGGCCCTGAGCTTACCACGCCAAAGCCAAAAAAACAGTCTCAACATTCTGCCTGCTTGAACACCAATAAACTAAATGGTGCTGACTAAAGGAACATAAGGAATTTTGTTGTACTTTTGCCTCTTAAACTAGAAAATCGTCCATTATGACCAAGTCCTCAAATTTTTCGGTCAGTATAATTATATTCTAACTGAATCCGTGCATACCTACCGCCATAAGCCAATGACACTAGTGAATGCTAAAAGTAAGCAGCCCTAGGAAGACAGTCTTGTCACACCTGCTTCTCTCCTAAATGAAGTAGCGAGAAACTGTTGAACAGAGTGTAGACAAGGCGTACTTTCTTTTATACCTTCTAGGTAACTCTCCTTGGGTTCACATTGTCCTCAACCTTACTAAGCCCATTCTAGAAACCTCCTAGATAATCTTGGTTGATTAGTATTCAAAGCAGTGGGACAGTATGGCGATTAAGTCCGCCATAATCTGGGATCCTCATTCACAGCCTTCGGCAAGTATTCGACGATTAGGGCGTACCAAAAGTTAATATTTACAGCAATGTTACCCATTTATCCTCCGCTCTACGTAAGGACTATTATCATCATAAATGTGAAAAGATAACTTCTCATATCACGACTCGAGAAGACAGTGTAAGAGATTCTTATTCCTTAATAGTTTAGATATCAGACACCGCCTCATAGTGGTGTCTGGATCAGGGATCGCCATTACGAACATCGCCGCTCTCAGTCTTCAAAACCGAAAGCGACGATCCATCTGATCACTTGAGACTCTCGACAAATATTAGCCCGTTTATAAATAGATCAATCGAGAAGGTCTTAAAAATATTTAATGTGGATCTAACACTCAAACTTACTTATAAACAGCTTTTTGTGGGAATTGTTAGATCAAAATTAATAATTTTACAGGCCAAAAATATATATATCGACAATTCATTGTCAAATGATCGTTAAATTCGCCCGTTTGCGAAGCGTTGAAGGGCCATTTGCAGGAAAGAAAAGCTTTAACTGAAATAGAACGTAAATTTCACATTTGTTAAGGCTTTCCATAAAATTTTCCCAAAAATACTGGCTATCGGAGGCTAGGTAGCAGGTGATCAATCATTTCCCCCCTATTGAACTTCCGTTTGTCACATTAGAAGAACACAAACGCCATAACCCAGTTTGTACACCAGAAATACTGAATCAAATGACATTGACGTTGATAAAATAAAATTGAGGCCTGTTTTATTGGTGAAATTGAAGTAGTTCGTGCGTATATGACTCATTCTATTCGGTTGGCAACTAAGTCATTGCCGACTTCAAATAAGAAGGCAAATTCGGAATTTTTGTTTAAAAATATGACTTTATTCAATTAAATATTGGCCGTTCTTGTCAATGACCTTTTTCCATCGTTCTGGCAGAGTAAAAATTCCC